GATAAAAACTCTCAAGAAAATGGGCATAGAGGGAAAGTATGTTAACATAATGAAGGCCAAATATGATAAACCCACAGCTAACATACTGAACAACAGGAGGCTGAAAGCTTTTCCTCTGAGATCGGGAACAAGACACGGATGCCCACTCTCCCCACTGTTATTCAACATAGTACTGGAGGTCCCAGCCATGGCAATCAGACAAAACAAAGAAATACAAGGAATTCAGATTGGTAAAGAAGTCAAACTGTCACTATTTGCAGATGACATGATATTGTATATAAAACACCCTAAAGACTCCATTCCCAAACTACTAGAACTAATATGGGAGTTCAGCAAAGTTGCAGGATACAAAATTAATACACAGATATCTGTGGCTTTCCTGTACCCTAACAATGAACTAATAGAAAGAGAAATCAGGAAAACAATTCCATTCACAATAGCATCAAAAAGAATAAAATAGCTAGTAATAAAACTAACCAAGGAAGTGAAAGATCTATACTCTGAAAACTACAAGAAACTCTTAAGAGAAATTAAAGAGGTCACTAACAAATGGAAACTCATCCCATGCTCTTGGCTAGGAAGAATTAATATCATCAAAATGGCCATCCTTCCCAAAGCAATACACAGATTCGATGCAATTTCTATCAAATTACCAACAGCATTCTTCAATGAACTGGAACAAATAGTTCAAAAATTCATATGGAACTGCCAAAGACCCCAAATAGAAAAAGCAATCCTGAGAAGGAATAATAAAACAGGGTGAATTATGCTTCCTGACTTCAAGCTCTACTACAAAGCCACAGTGATCAAGACAATTTTGTACTGGCACAAGAACAGAGCCACAGACCAGTGGAACAGAATAGAGACTCCACACATTAACCCAAACATATATGGCCAATTAATATTCGATAAAGGAGCCATGGCATACAATGGGGAAATGACAGTCTCTTCAACAGATGGTGCTGGCAAAACTGGACAGCTACATGTAAGAGAATGAAACTGGATCACTGTCTAACCCCATACAGAAAAGTAAATTCGAAATGGATCAAAGACCTGAATGTAAGTCATGAAACTATAAAACTCTTAGAAAAGAACATAGGCAAAAATCTCATGGACATGAACATGAGTGACTTCTTCATGAACATATCTCCCCTGGCAAGGCAAATAAAGGCAAAAATGAACAAGTGGGACTATATCAAGCTAAAACGCTTCTGTACAGCAAAGGACACCATCAATAGAACAAAAAGGTATCCTGCAGTATGGGAGAATATATTCATAAATGACAGATCTGATAAAGGATTGACAACCAAATATATAAAGAGCTCACACACCTCAACAAACAAAAAGCAAATAATCCAATTAAAAAATGGGCAGAGGAGCTGAATAGACAGTCTCTAAAGAAGAAATTCAGATGGCCAACAGGCACATGAAAAGATACTCCACATTGCTAATTATCAGAGAAATGCAAATTAAGACCACAACGAGATGTCACCTCACACCAGTAAGGATCGCCATCATCAAAAAAACAACAACAAATGTTGGCGAGATTGTGGAGAAAGAGGAACTCTCCTACACTGCTGGTGAGAATGTAAATTAGTTCAACCATTGTGGAAAGCAGTATGGAGGTTCCTCAGAATGCTCAAAATAGAAATACCATTTGACCCAGGAATTCCACTTCTAGGAATTTACCCTAAAAATGCAGCACTCCAGTTTGAAAAAGACAGATGCACCCCTATGTTTATTGCTGGAGTATTTACAACAGCCAAGATATGGAAGCAACCTAAGTGTCCATCAGTAGATGAATGTGTATAAAGAAGAAGTGGTACATATACACAATGGAATATTACTCAGCCATAAGAAAAAAACAGATCCTACCAATTGCAACAATATGGATGGAGCTAGAGGGTATTATGATCAGTGAAATAAGTCAGGCGGAGAAAGTCAAGTACCAAATTATTTCACTCATATGTGGAGTATAAGAACAAAGGAAAACTGAAGGAACAAAACAGCAGCAGAATCACAGAATCCAAGAATGGACTAACAGTTACCAAAGGGAAAGGGACTGGGGAGGATGGGTGGGAAGGGATGGATAAGGGCGGGGAAAAAGAAAGAGGGCACTAGGATTAGCATGTATAGTGCATGGGGGGCACAGGGAGGGCTGTGCAACACAGAGAAGACAAGTAGTGATTTTACAGCATCTTAGTACACAGATGGACAGTGACTGTAAAGGTGTATGTGGGGGGGACTTGGTGAAGGGTGGAGCCTAGTAAACATAATGCTCGTCATGTAACTGTAGTTTACTGATACCAAAATTTAAAAAAAAAAAGGCATATATTGAAATAAGAGTGCTTAATACCCGTGGTTAAAATTGTAATTTACCCACAATATCTCACCTGGCTTTATTACATATGCATATCAAAAGGAGCCCAAGGGTGGATAGAAGTATGGCTTTAGTTGATTTGCATAAATCCTCAGGGGTAGAGAGAAATTCATCTCCAGATAAGTGGGTAATTTCCTGCGCAATGGAGGGTTTATCAATACCTGAGAGGTGAGGGGGAGGGCTGGTTTTGTGGCTGCTGGAGCAGAGAAGAGAGAAGGTCCTGGACTGCATTTTGTGAGCAATAAATGGATTTTAAACTTTATTTATCCTTTTGACTGATTTCGGTTTTAGAGGAATTTTGCCCCAGGATTTCCTCTCCCCGGATTTACAATACTAGGTGTTTTTTAAATGCCTTTTTATTTTATTGGGCAAAGATCACAAATCTGACTTATGTCTCATTTTATATGTCCATTAAGTTGTATATCCATTTCATGCTGACATGGTTGTCTATAAATACATAGTTTCTTTTAAGTATATAATCTCTGAATTATATGGAAATTACAGCTAAAAATGAAGATGACTCAGAAATCCCATTTCATTCTTTCTGCACACTCTGACTTCACCTACCTACCAGCAAATATTGATAATTTACATCTGGAGAGTTTTCTACTGCAGAGTGTTATATTTTCGGTTTTATTTTTGCAGTAGCCCCAACACCTTGGATAGAGTACTTCAGAAAGAATATATAAATCAAACAATGGTGGGGAGGCTCATTAAAGGAGCAGAGATTTAGTACCCTTGCCATCCTACACAAGAAAACGGAAAATTAAATCACTGAATCTGACTAGTGTATGGTGTTAATGCCACCCATTTGACAGAATTAAAAAACTCAAGTCAATTAGAAACACACACCTAGAATTATAGGAAAACGAGACAAAGAGTAATACCAAAGGTTTTAGTGAGAAAACAATTCTAAGTCCGGGGAGAGGACATCCTGGGGCAAAAACCGAAATCAGTCAAAGGGAGAAATAAAGTTTTAAATCTGTTTATTTCTTACAAACTGCAATCCGGGCCCTCTCTTTCCTGCTCCAGCAAGCAGCAGCAAAACCGGCCCTCCCCTCCCCTCTAGGGTACAGATAAGCTCTCCTTGCCCAGGTAACAAACCCACTGATATGGAGATGAACTTCTTTCCACCCCTGCGGAATGATGCAAATGCACTAAAGCCATACTTCTTTCGACCTCTGAACGCCTATTGATATGCAGATGTACTAAAGCCAGGCGAGATATTCTGGAAATATTACAATTTTACCAACAACGAGATAAGAAACATTAAAATACAGTTATCAAAGTGCATTTCTTTTACATATGTGTTTAATTAACAAGATCAAAAAACAGCAGCAGGTGAAATAACTAATATCAGATTCAGACTCAATGAGCATGAACTTTATTTCAAGACAATAGCGCGAAGTGATAAAAACATATGTGATTGCCATTGTTGAAAAATATCACAGATACTGCAAAATCCCTTGTGAGTGGTTGCCTACACACATAATTGAAATACTAAATTGGATTTAGAGTTTGTGAAAAAGATACTTTTCCTCTCCACGTTCACGGCCCTATAATGGAATGTGGAACTCAAGATTTTTGTCAAGATTTTTCAGTAAAATTAACTAGGCTTCCCTGGGAAACAAAACAAAACACCTCAGCCACAGAGGCCTTGTGGATATGGTGGAACAACTCAATCAACCCATCTTCATAAAGCCCTTTTGGTTTGCCTCTGTTATCACTCTAAACAACTACGCTGCCTTCCCAGTTTTTCTTTTGTTTCCCCTTCCGTTTTTTGAAAATTCACCTAAGAGATAATAGACGAACAACCAAGAAAGACTCCGTGGTTCCTCCCAACAATATGCATGCAGGAAAGGAATCTAGCAAATCAATCTGGTTAAATTATAAACTGCTATGGTGAGTTATATATTTATTATCCTTAGCTTCGGGGTGGTAACAATGATTATGCAAATTACACAATAGCGTGAATAACCCCTCCAAAGGGCTCCATTAACCTAGGTGGGGTGGGAATCCAAGCTTTTAACTGCTTCACAGTATTTACAAATTTTAATGTCTCCTTTAATTGGTGCAGTCATTTTTCTCTAGTAAATGCAAATAAGTCCAGGGACAAGTTCTGATTGGCTAACTTTCAAGTCTTCGCAAACCAATGGGAAAGGAAGCTTTACGGAACATTCGACACTCTTAATGACCCCTTCCTCAGACTGCCTTGAAAACTGTCTTTTGAAAGGTGTAAGCGCGGTGAATATTGTTAAAACTGATGTCAAGGCCAAGCTAGACGGGCTGCAGTTCGTGGGTCGCATGCACCGTCTGCTCCACAAGGGTAACTACGCCGACCGGGTAGTGGCCTGAGCGCCCGTGTACCTGGCGGCGGTGCTGAGTACCTGACGGCCGAGATCCTGAAGCTGGCGGGCAACGCGGCCCGCGACAGGACGCGAATCTCGCACCGCGTGCTGGCAGGCCCCATTGCCGAACTGCTACTGCCCCCAGACCAAGCCAGGAGTTTAAATCATAAAACGCTAAAGGTTCTTCCTTAGAGCCTCGTAATTACCTGAAAGTAATTGTGACCGTGGTTAGGTGTCGAGGTATATGGTTAAGCTCTTTTTTCTGATAGTAGTGGGTGGCTCTGAAAAGAGCCTTTGAGATTCTCAAACCGGACGTCCCGCTACAACTTTACTTCTTCTTAGGCGCAGACTTCTTTGCTTTTGTAGTCTTGGGTTTGGCAGTTTTCGGCTTAGCTGCTTTAGGCTTAGGGGCTTTGGCTGGACTCTTCGCTGCTTTCTTCGGTTTACCTGCTTTCACCTTTTTCGAGCTCTTGCTCACTTTCTTGGTCCCAGCAGCGGTAGCTGGCTTCTTCGCCTTCTTCGGGGCCTTCTTGGTGCTCTTAGGAGGGGCCGCGCCCATTGCCCTCTTGGGCTTCTTGGTCGTCCCCGCGGGCCTCTTGGGCTTGGCCACAACCGGTTTCTTGGCTTTGGGCTTGTCTTCCCCGGAAGCCGCTTTCTTGTTGAGCTTAAAGGAGCCGGAAGCGCCGGTGCCCTTAGTCTGCACCAGGGTGCCCTTGCTCACCAGGCTCTTAAGGCCCAGCTTGATGCGGCTGTTGTTCTTCTCCACGTCGTAGCCGGCGGCCGCCAGCGCCTTCTTGAGCGCAGCCAAAGATACGCCGCTGCGCTCCTTGGAAGCGGCGACTGCCTTGGTGATGAGCTCGGACACCGAGGGCCCGGACGCCCTGCGTTTCCCAACTGTTGTGCCTGCCTTCTTCGCTTTCTTCTTAACAGGTGTTTTTTCTACGGGTGCAGGAGCGGTAGGAGGAACTGGAGCAGTCTCCGACATTTTCGTTCTGCCCAGAAAGACAAACGATGATCCTAAACTGTCAGAACGGCGTGTTTCTGCACTGGCGGCCTGGGTTTATATAGTGAGTCGCTGAGTGTGATTGGCTGGCTACTCTACGCCGCGCCGCTAGGAAGGGATCCTCGGCTCTGGCTAGTGGTTGTGTTTTTTGCCCCTTAAAAATGAAGAAAAATACAGAAAATCGGGGCACGAAATGATTAGGCATTTGGGGGAAATGGATCCGAGAGCCTCCAGGCTTCATTCCTGCCTCATTTGTTGTGCCTAGTTTCAAAACCGGCTCTCTGAAACTTTCCGGATTCCCTCAACTCTCTTTAAAACTTCAGTCAAATCAAGACGACTTTCAGATTTTCCTTATAAATACTATTTTTCTCTGTTCCGCTTGCAAATCTTTCTTCCAAGGCATTGTTCTGCACATTCTTTTCTTTGCAACTTTATGTAAATAAACTCAATTTTACTCAAATATACAAAGAAAGCCGGCATTTTCGAGAGAGAAATAGCACAGCTCTCCCACAAGTTGTTTGCCCTGAGCACTGGGAAATTGGCACTGGGATAGAAAATTCGATGCACAAATTAGATAACTGTTTTACAAAATATATATATATATATACTTAAGTATTTGAGTGACCAGTGGGTAAACTGGATTTGATTCTAGTGTTCTCGTGGTCTAATCATTTTAGGAACTATGGGGGGTGACATTGCCCCATTCATTTTCTAGACAAAACATTATATAGCCGTCAACTTTCTTACTAAATTAATATACAAGGTATTTCAGATCTAGAACAGGCATTAGAGACCAACCACTGCACCTACAAAGAAGAAAAGTTAACATGAAGCAATAGAATGGCAGTTCTACATCATTTTACCAGTTAGGAGCTGAAGAACATTGTGAGATCATGCATTTATATCCCATAGTTAAAACTATAAAGTACTTAATGACAGACACCTTGCCCATAAGATTTTTTAATCCATTATTTAGCATAGAATTTTGTTCCTATTTCCTATATTTTAAAATGACACTTAAAGTGCAAAGTTGGTTGCCTGTTTTTCAACATTGCAAGTAGGGCCACAGAGGATCAGAAAGAAAACATTCACATTGAAATCACTTTCTGAATTTTCATAATTCTCCCTGAGCTATTTAATAACAAAATATGATGTAGGCTGTCACAACCTAAATTAATTAGCTGAATATATCTACCTAAGGAGTTAAACAGACATTGACTAGCAAGCATTACAGACTGTACTACTCCATCTCTTTTACTGTGCAACAAACAGAGCTAATGTAACTAGGTAAATATTGAAGAATTAAGTTCAAAATAAGTATTGCCTACCACATAATCACATACTGAAATTAAATCCTATGTTAACATAAATAAGGAAAGTATTTTAGTGTTATGTTTCTTCTAATAGTTATATGCTTATTCCCAAAAGTCTAGTTATTCGATGGTGATATTCTCACATATATCGAACATGATAATCAACTTTCAAGATAACATCTCTCTACACCTAACTAATTCCATAAAAATCACTGGGCTTGTTTTTAAATAGTCATTTATTGGCCGGCACTTAACTGAAATTGAGTCTCTGGGACATGAGTTCATGGTATATGCCAAATACAAATACTCTATAAAGAGATAAGCTTATAGCACTGCAGCTGCAATATTCAATTCTCCCTAGGCAGGCATCATTTTTATGAGTGTCTAGTAAAAGGGCTGCTCATCATCCTCAGTAGCATAATTGTCTATACCAAATGCATAAACATTATATAGGCCTTTACTTTTTTAGCCCAGAACCTATTATCTGGACCTAAAGATACCATTAAAATTCAAATTTTTAAAAGTTTACAGTTTGGGTCATCTTTGTATTCATATATCATTCGTTGAGTAATCGTTGGCATTGTCCCCTAAGTTACATATACTAAATTTAAGATAGGTGAAAAGTTCTTTCTACTGCAGATGCCACCATTTCATTCTTGTACAACTCTCACTGGTTCGTATGGCTATTTAGTTTCCATATAAGTGAGAAGACACTGGGGTTAAGGGCCATTTTCTTAATTGTTCGTAGGTAATCTCTGCCTTTCTTGGAGGGCAACAACTGAGGCTTTATTTCACCTGAAAAGTGCTTCCCCAGATGCTTGTAGAAGGATGGGGTTCTGCTTCATAATAGTTACTGTTCTTGCTTGATACCCAGGTACTTATCTTCTCTGTAACTGAAGCATGAACAAAGTTCTTGAAAGCTGGATCACTCCATAGGACTGTAAAGTTGAAGTTTCACCAATAACTTTGGTAACCATCAAAAAAGTTGTGTTCATTACTTTTGAATCCTAAATCTATATATATATATATCCTAAAACAGTGGATTTCCTACTAGAATAAGACTTGAACCATGAATTTTATAGATGTAAAAAATAACTGAGAAAAACTACAGTTAGGTAGGTGATGGATACCTCACTGATGACTTCATGTTCTCTCAATTTTTATGTTCACCCCCCCTTTTACCATAGTAAATGACTATAAGAGATATAGGTAGTGCTCATCAGGTCAGTCCACAAAGGCTGTGCTTAACTGTTCCAAAATTCAGTGAATGTTTAAAAGCTTAAGGATAAAGTGACTGTTGAATAAATATCAAAAAGGACAAAAAGTAAGGCTATACATTAGACAGAGCACTGTGTTTGAATCCAATGTATTCAGTAGGCCCACAAGAAATTACTTCTATTTTAATTTCCAGTCAGATGGTCCCACCTGAGGGCACTCTCTCACTTCAAACTCCCTTCAAGCAGCACAACTATATCTTACTAATTTTATTTCCTAAAAGGTACTAATACTCTCAAACTTCCAATTTTCTTTTTATATGTCCCTCTACCTGCAATATCTGGCATACCCAGAAGTTGGCCAATTTCTATTACACTTCAAAAATATTCCCATTTTCACTTCCTTTAGGAAGCCCATTCTCTGATATCCACCACACTCCCTTTCCCAGTCCAGAATAGAAGTTCTTCAGAAGAAATTCTCTATCACAGCATATAGTCCAATAGCACTTATTGCAATGCTGGAAATGTTCCATATCTGAACTGTCAAATATACAGCCCCAAGAATTAATTTTTAATTTAAGTGGACACATATAGCTGGTGGCTAATGTAAGATAGTTTTAAAACAACTCTTCTCAAAATTGAATGAGCATACCACCTACTTGAGGATCTTTTTTAACATGCCATTCAATTCAGTAGAATTGAGGTTGGGCCTGAAATTCTGTGTCTAACAAGCTATCAGGTGATGTTAATGTTGCTAGGACACAGCTGCTCCCACCCATCACTACTAGACTGAAACTAGAGTATGCGAGGCTGATGTCTGACCCTTCCCCCTGAGTTTACTTTTCTCTTCTCTCTACTAGATGTTATTTAAAAGAACATGGGGGCTTGTCTTTGTAAACCTATTGTTTGTACACCATTATTGGTGTGGATAAAATGAGAATTCCTGTGGCCAGGATTCTCACCTGGCCTTGGTTGACTAGCTCACTGCACACCTGTGGGCAATACATGACTGTTGACTCTATATAAAGAGCTCCGCCCAGTGCTCTGTGCGTGGCACGGTAGAAGGGCTGCAAAGGGGCAGGAGAGTAGAGCAGAGGCTAGAGTGGTGGCAGCACCGAGGACAGAGGCCCAGAGGATGGCTGTGCGGTACGACTGTGCAGAGAGGCCCAGAGGACAGCTGTGCAGGATGGCTGTGCAGGCAGAGAGGCCCAGAATAAGCTGTGTGAACAGAGGGGCCCAGAGGACGGCTGTGCAGACAGGGGCCCAGAGGCAGAGACCGGCTTGCTGCATGCAGACTCTCTCTGAGTGAATGGGATTCTAATGACTGACCCGCCACCTGGAAATAAAGTTGGGTTTAACCCTGTCACCCCAAAGAACGTTTTACTGTCCTTATCTTTGGTCACATTGAATCCGTAGCGAACTTGCCTGGGGCTGAAACCCATTGACAAGACACTTGGTATATAGAACATCCTAAATTATTAAGTGAATGAATGAATCATGCTTCTTCTTTGGTGCCTTTCTCAAAGAGGAGAGCATGGGGGATCACTGTGTCTAAGTATACAGGGAAGTGTATCCGAACTAAATCTCAAATAGTCTCTGGCTCAAAAAAAATGAATAACCTTTTGACTACCTATATGTTCCAGCAAGAAAGGAATTTTTAAAAATCACCTCTGTAGTAACACAGAAGGCACTCAACCTGAATGTATGGAATGTGAGTAAATATGGGCGTTTGTCTAGTAAACATAGCAACCTATCATGTTTGTAGAACATGACTTCCATTACTTTTCTACATGAACAGTATTCCAGTGCATTAGTGTTATTTTTGTTAACTGTCAATTTGTTAGCTGTTATGCACCATGATGTAGCTTCAATGCTTTCCTTACTTAAAACAGTGGTAGGTGGCAAGGTCATTCTCCAGAATCAGAAACCTAAGTTCTGACACTAACAATACCACTTATTGGAGCACTCATTGTCTCCAAGCCTGGAATTTTTCATATATACAATACAAATAGTGCTTTATAAGTCTGGAAGCAAAGAGTAGAAATTAACATCAGCTCCCCTTCCTAGAGCTCCCTCTTTTCAAGAAAACACACGCACATATATACAAATAAACACGTATATATATATATATATATGTGTGTGTGTGTGTGTGTCTAATTATTCACACACACATATATATATATATACACATAATGTTTGCCAAATGGGAATTTTCTGATTAGCCAAACTTAATAAGTATTGATACAGTTGTATAATTTAATATTCTTAAAATGATTTTAATGTTTAAAAATTTTATTCTGCTCTTTCCCTTCTGTAGACAAGTGTAGCGTTTACTGCCTCTTTTTTGTAAATGATAAGAATGATTAGGAGATTTGCACAATATCGTTTGAAAGAACCCAAAGGCACAAGATTAAAGGCCACAGAACCCAGCCAATCTGAGACCCTAATAGGAAACTGCGGAATCAAATGCTAACTCTCACTTCCCCGCTGCACTCTCTTGCTAGGCAATAGCAGACGCCCAGTGAGAAGAGGCGGGGCAAAGGACCCGTTCCCGCCCCCGCCGTTTCAGTCTCCTAAAAGGTCCGCAGAGCCCATATATAAGATGTT